TGGCTGATGAGTGGATCAAATGGTCCCTATTTAAATGATTTCAGAATCAGCAGCTGTAGTCAATCACAATCACTCACATGAAACGAAAAGAGGTCATGTCGCACATTTCTGACCCAGCAGTGACACTGATGCATGAGTTTCAGTCATTCCATCACAGATAAATATTAGTCATCGGGGTCACTGGAAACTTCAGACCGCCATGTTGTACGTGGTCTTTACAAGCGAATGGAAACTTTTGTTCACGACTGTTTTACTGGCAGACATCTTGACGTATTTTCTCGTCATCTGGAAAAAATGTAGAATGACATGGAAATAAAAGTTAAATAAATATTGTTATTAGACTATCAGGAGACTTCACGTTCTTCTCACAACTCACACTGATGCTACATGGCTGCAGTCTTGTGTATCTATAAATGCTAATTTGAAGGTATAATCGATAAAAATGCAACTGTGGCCACATGAAATGAACATGCATAAATTCATGACATGAGTAAACAGCTTCATGAAGCCCATGTTGGGGAGGGACGAGGCGAGCGGGTTGGGACCCCTGAGGCCGATCGATGGGAGTCCATTGTGTTCCTCTGGTTAAGTCAGCGTCAGGCAGGATGCAGGCTGGTGCTCAAACCAAACAGCATTATCTGTGTGTATACACAACAAATTTCTACAGGACCTTTCGCCCAAACACGAGATAAATCCAAACATCCTTCCCAAGAACGACAGTGGAAAAGAGAGAGAGACACTCGGATGTCTGCAGTCAAATTAGGATCTCTTAGTTCAGTTTAAGTCCTCGTACATGTAGCAGGAAACTCTACTATTTATTGTGTTTGGGTCGTTTTAAAAGGCTGGGTAAATAGCAGTAAATTAATGGGATGAAACGTGATAAATAGTGTGATCTCCTCCTTGCAACGGGGATGTGAAACTGGATATGAGCACCAGTGTTTCAGTCTGACTGAGTGTTGAAGTGATAAACTAGATATTGTAGACGTTAGCAGAGCTTCCTGGCAGATCACCGCCTTCCAGGACCTTCCTGTGATCTCTGTAGACGTAGAATAATGTCGTACATAAAACAAATGTGTTTATTATCACTAAAGATTTTTAAAAAATGAGTATGGTAATCCATTTCATGTCCAGGAGCACAGGATGCCACTTTCAAAGATGGAAAGTAGCTCAATAACGTCTTTCAATGGTCTTCCATGTGTTTCTGTGTCACTGAGCATGTGTGTCCGAGACTTCCACGGTTGACTTCTAGTTGCCTGCCTGCACACCTGAACAGGATAAGATGCTATTATCATTGTTCTAGACTTAGTAGATGTCATTGGACCCAATGAGTCAAATTTCATCAAGTAATGAACGTATGCAGTTTGTTCTCTTTGCCACAGTGCAGCTCTGCTCTTAGGGCTTGACTGTAGTTTTAGCGTCTGGGCTGTTTTATTGTATTATTATTATTAGTTGTCAGGATATACGTATGTACATCTTCGATTCCTTTCCTCACCTTCTCGCCGACTGTCTTAAGCCCATTGTGCGATTTTCTGCCGTCCCAGAGAATCGTGGTGATGTCTTTGGTCTTGGCTCCAAACCGGTGGTTGAGGGTTTAAGGACGGCCGTTGTCATGGTCTTGCGACCAAAGACAACCTGCGACAAAAGTCTGACAGTGTCAGAAACTTGGGGGTGATCATCTCAAAGGGTGACTGCTGCTGCAACCTACTTCAACTAATGCAATATGAAATGACTGAGTGCTGATCAGCAGGACACGAGCTTCCTTTGCAAAACTGGCATCCCCAGTTGGCCTCTCTGTCTGAGCCGAGGTTGGCTCCATATTCTCCTCCTTCTACTTGTTTTGGGGATTTCTCTCCAAACACATGAATACCATGAGGATGAGGGCTTCTTTCATGCTTTGCTAGTTTCTTTGTCGTGGATGGATGGTGCATGCTCATGACGTTTTTTTCTTGCATGTTCATTTCGACTCATCGTAGACTGCGATTCAGTTCGCCTTTTTATCGTGCAATCTGCACACAGCAAACTTCATGTCGTGGCCAAAGTTTAGGGATCTCCAGCTCTGGTCCTCCTGAGCTACTGTCCTGCAGGTTTAAGACGTTACTGCAACACACCTGACTCACATTAATGGACCTCCAACAGCTTGTTGTCAAGTTCTACACAAGTCTGTTAATGATCCATTGATGTGAGTCAGGTGTGTTGGAGATCCTTGTCGTACAGTGTCGCTAGCTGTGAACTTATAAGATTGCTAAAATTGCACAGTTTGTAGCCGGCTTCAGTCCCTTAAACCTGAGATGTGAGCAGAGGAGCTAAGGAAGAAAAACAAGGAGAGAGGAGTCGAGGCAGCAGGCTTTAAACAAAATGACATCCTTTCTGCTCAGCTGTCATTTATGATGTGCTTGAGCTGCATCATCTCTTTAATGTTTGGTTACAGCTTGTATTTCATGATCTCTGTTTGTCTCTGATGAGCCGTTTTCATGAGAACTTTAATATTCAGTAAAGCTGAAAAACACAGCGACTCCTTATTAACAGAAGTCCTTAATATCAGCGGGCCAGTCGGACTTAACGCGACTGCTTAATGAATTTTAAATGCCACACCTGTCCCCGCTGCAGCTCACACCAGGATGAAGCATCTCTGAGTCCGAGCACGCCGGGTTTTCCATGTATTAATAAAAGATTTTCACATTTGAAATCTGAAGCGGCTCATTAAGGACTTCCATTAATAAGAAGCGGCCGTCGTTGTTTGTTGTCTTTACTGACCGCTGACCTTGAAGAGCCGAGATTTTAGCATTTTCTTCACTTTTAAACGCCGTCGTTCTCGACCCAGTTCTGCTCTTCCTCATGTTTTCTTCAACGATTCACTTTTAACTCGTTGGGGAATAATGTGACTACAGAATGTGATTCAAAATGGAGAAATGAGAAGAGCGTCGTGTCTTTGCATCCAAAGAAGAAGAAGAAATAAGCAGCACCATGATTTGGCTCTCCACTGTAAGGTTGGCTATAGGAACTGAATGAACAGGATTGTTACCGTGTTGGTGGATGGATGATGGCATTAGCTCAGTAGCTGTTGAAGGAAACCACCGAGTATCTAGTTACCATTTTGTCGCTCATGCAAACCATTTTCAGGTACATTGTTAAGTTCCTCGACAAATAAATGAAGCTTTCTATGAATACTGAGGGATTTTTAGCATTTATTTCTGTTTTTATTTATTTATTTCTTCCTTATTTTTATCCAGTTAAATGGAAATTGGAATTGAGCAAATCCTAAATCCAAATCCTTCCTCAATCATCCTCTTAGATTGAAATTCACCGAGGGAGTTCTATATATTTTTTTGAGATAACTGACTGACCGTGTGCCTCGGAAAAAACAAAACAACAGCATAAAGATGGAGCTTCAGAGAACAGACGCTGAAGTGAAGCATCTCGTGCCTTCGGGGGCGTTTGCGTGTTCGACACAACTCAAATGTTTCCGGGGACAAAATCTGAAAAACAACATTTTTGTAAAGCTGTGCCGAGAGCTACGAGAGGAAGACAAGTGTTTACCGTTCACCCCCAAGCTGGTAGAGATCTGAAATGATGCACAAACATTAAAACGAGGATGACGGATAAACAACCGTGTCACCCACTTGAATCTGCGTCACGTCTTCAGACATCACTCGGCTGGAGAAAGCCAGTCGGCCAACTGGCAGACAGAAGCTTTGTTGATCCTCCTACAGCGTACTGTTGGCCACCAGCTGCATTTTTCCACTCCTATTTCCTGTTCCCAACCAGATAAAGAGGATTTTCAGCTGAACCGTGCCCTAAAAAAACAGCAGAGGTCTTTTATGATGTGAAAGGCGAAGTCGGGGCAAGAAAGTCGTCCCATCTGGTGTCGCTGATGGAGACGGTTGGAAGCTGTTGTGGTGGTGCTCGGCCAGCGCTGTGAGTTCACATTTTCACAAGATATTCAGAAATAAACACTTGAGCGCGGTGCAGCTGGCCGAGCACAATCAAATAAATGAATCTGACTTGTGTGCTCGGCCACGCTCTTACAGCAGGAGTGCGAATGGCTTCGAATGTTGTGGCTCCGTGTGAAGACTCTCAGGCTGCTGCATTGTTTATGCACATCTTCACATCTGAAATTGGAAAGAGGCTGAAAACTGCCACACAGCAAGAAACTAAGAGGCTCTGAAGGCCTGATAAATGAGAAAGTTTTTTTTTTTAACAGTCCTGAATCTCAGCGCTGACAGAATCCCAGCTGACAGTGTTTAGAAGCAGCGGGATGATGAAACCACATCTCTGCAGCTCAATGAGGCTTATTATAGAACAAAAAAGGACGCTGTCGAACGGGATATATTGCTGAAGCAAATGGCAGCTTCACAGCCACAAAACACATCAGATGCATTAGATGCTGAAACTGATTGAAGATAATTACCGGCTGTGTGTCCACGAGGCAGAAACATACAATAGCCTGAACATGATACATCCAGGGAACTCATCCTGTTATTTAAATGTCAAATGATTCCACATCGTGTCACCTCCAGCAGCTGCATCACTTCTACGCTG